CGTTGGTCGTCGGTCCTCCAGCTACTGGCGTCCCCGCTGGTGGTGCGATCCCCGCCGGCGGTCTGGCATGCACCGGAAATGGGGACAGGGGCGTAGAGTGCCGGAGGTGGACCAGGCGCGCGGGGGCCGGCGAGGAGCGAAACGAGAGAGGGTCGGGAGAGAGGGACCCAACGACTCCATGGACGTCCGCCCGAGGACCATCTGCAGGGCGCGACGGGCCAAGGATGGCGCCCGGCGCATGAGGAGAAAACATCGACTGGCAGCCTGGACGAGCTGGAATAAAAGGAGGAAAAGGGTAAGCCGAGGAGCGGCCAAATATTTCACAAACTTACCTGGAAGCAAGCCCGGGCGGCCAGTCCAAAGGGGGCTGCTGTGGAAGGGGGGTTGGGAGGGGAAAAGGGGCCAAGAGAGGGCCTGCCGGGACGCGCTGCATCATGTGGGGCGCCCCGGCACATACTCATCGGGGAGGCGCTCGCAGCTCAACCCGGCAAAGATGCATGCTGCAAGAAGAGGACGGAAATGGTGAGAAATGAGAAAAAAAAGAAATAACCTCAAGTACTTACCAAAACAAAACCACGAGGCCAGCGGAAATTGGGAATGGGGTCGCCACGATAACGGCGGTCGATCGATAGTGCGATCGATAGGAGCAAAAAATACTGGAAATATCGCTGGCCGGTCACACTAAATATGACGGCACCCTGAGGAGTGGCAACGCCACAATCGATCGGTAAGAGTTATCGATTGTGCGCGGGGAAATTCTGCGCGGGAGACTTTTTCAAATTTGAAACGAGGATCGGAAGGAGTCGCGCGCTGGGAGTTTCCGACAGCCAAGATGCCCTAGTCAAGAAGCCCAACGACGGGAAGTCTACATAAGCTGAGACTTAGGTGCTGAGGTTGGAGGAGCTCTCAGCCGTGGCAGGAGGAGGTCGACGAGGGAGTGGCAGCGGCCACAAGGATCGAGGATGGACGTGTGCGCAAGGAGCCGGGGGGGGTCAAGATGCCACAGTCGAGATGCTGAACGACCAGGTAGGGTCCAATAGGCTGAGGCTGTCCGGCTGAGATCCAGGAGGCCCTTGGCCGCACTCAGGAGTGGAGGTCGACGTGGGAAGGATGCAATTTGAGAACGTTTCCCCGTTTCTTCCGGAGCCCGAAGCTTTTAAAAGTTTCCGAAGGAAGGGGGAGATGTAAGGGTTTGTAAAACGCCTTACAAGTTTGAGTGCAGGAGAGCCGCATAGCAACAGCGGGATGCGCTGCGTGCAGAAGAAAAGGGAAATAACGGCTCAAAGGACTTTGGACTCAATGCTGCGGTGAGTCTGCAGACTTTGGACCCAATAACGGCGAGTCTGCGGACTTCGGACCCGCGCAAAGAGGAGAGACCGTGAACTAACGGTACCGTTCTGGACTTTGTACCCGTTATAACGGTGAAGTTCTGGACTTTGTACCCGTTATAACGGTGAAGTTGGCGGACTTTGGACCAGCACAAAGAGGAGAGACCGTGAACCAACGGGACTTGTGCTGCCCTTTGGACCCGATCACGCCACTTGTCCTGCACTTTGGACCCAATCACGCCACCGAAGGAGGGAAATAACGGGACCAGGGTGGCATATAAAAGGAGGACGCGTGCAGGAATCTGGACAGTCAAGTGAAGTCGTGCAACGAGATCGTACCAACGCGAGTGAAACCCCAAGGAGAATACCAAGTGCCAATTAATCCGGAATCAAGATCGCCGAGTCAAGAAGCCCAACGACGGTCACGTCTACATAAGCTGAGACTGCCAAGCTGAGATCCCGAGGGTACAAGGTAAGTTGTAGGGTGCGTCTACGAGTCTCGAAATCGACGAAGTTGGTGAAGTCTTGGCAGTGGATGTTGTGCGAAAGGTACCCAGCGTCGGTACCCCATGAAAGATTGAGGACCTGCTGAGGGCCAGGCCGACGAAGATCCAGTGGAGTTGTGCGAAAGGTACCCGGTGTCGGTCCACACGAGAGTGAACTCCGGGGTGGAGCGAAGAGTGGTGACTGCAGGCATCACTGCTTAGCCCCGCTAGGGAGGTTCTGTCTAACATCCTCCAAGGTTGTGAGAGGCTCGTAGCGAGGCATCACTGCTTAGCCCCGCTAGGGAGGTTCTGTCTAACATCCTCCAAGGTTGTGAGAGGCTCGTAGCGAGCCTAGTACGCGACCGGTGCCCAAAAGACTCGGCAAGGCAGAGGACGCGCGACAGGCGTGCCGCCGTAGAGTCGACGCGGGAGCCATTACCGGCGTCAACGAGGGAGAGCGAGTCGTCAGGCAGCAGATCCACGAGTCAATACCAAGCTGTAAAGCCACACCAATAAACCCAACATATATTCTAAAGCTAACCTATCTCTGTGTTCTTCTTTGGTCTCGGGGTCACGCAACAATAAATTTGGTGGGACGAACACCTAAACTCAACTGAGCTAGCCGCACGTTTCGTAGCGAGCGGAGACAATAAAAAGCAGTTCTTTACAAAGGTAAGTATTGTTAGAAAGACTTACTTATGTATTAAAGTGTAGGTGTATTTGGATTGAATTAGATATAAATAAATGCTGTCACTGTCACCTTTGAGTAGAGGGTTTTTGTTTTTATTGTTCTTTTTAGGTTTTTGTTCGTTATTTTCTTTGGTTTTGAGGGGTTTGGCAAGTGTGTGTTGTTGGTTTTAATCCCAAGAGCAAACATGGAGTTTTTAAATAACCCTTGAATCGAGAAAAAAAATTTTAAGATCCGAAAACATGTTTCTTATTTGGTTGTGTGTTTCTCAGCGGAACAGTTGTTGCATAGTGCGGGTCCTTTACAAGCTGTTGTGGGGTGTCCAAGTTTATTACAATTGCGACATCTGAGTGGGCGTGGTATGTATGGTCGAGTGTTAACCTTTTCATAACCAATCATCATTGTCTCTGGGAGAGTCAATGAGGCAAAGGTTATAATGATGAGTCCTGTTTCCTTAAGTTAATTTCGTTCCATTTTTTTTATTTTGCGTATTTCTGTTACTTTTTGAGATTTGAGTTCTTTCAATATAGTTTCTTCATCGATGCCTCGCAATTCATAAGAATAAATAACTCCCTTGGAGAAGTTAAGAGTATTATGCTCACAAACTGATACAGGGAAATCATGAAAGGTCTTCAGAAATCATAGGAAAGATCGAAAAATCTATGTTAAAATAACGGAAATAAAATGATAACATCGTTGGGTAAAGTTGCGCTTTAGCGGCTTTTGCTAAAAATGGGCCAGGAATTTTTTTTTAAAGGGATACCTTGGGGCCTAAACATTAATAAAAAAGTGGCGGAAAGCGTAAATTTTAATTATTTATGTGTTAAGGGGGTCTTCCTATGTGATAGGTTGAAAAAATCGATTTTTTTTTCATAAATTGCTCCCTTAACATGTCTAGAATACGGTAGTAAAGCGATTTTAGAAAATTCGAAGTCGTTTTAAAGATACAGCAGGTAAAAGAAAGAGCGGTTCGGAGCGCTGAGTTGGCAGTTAGAAACTTTAAACGCGTTTTTCTCAAAACTGTGTTTTTCAAACTTTCCTCCATTGTATCTCAGAAACGGCTGGACCGAATTACTTGAAATTTACAGGGCACACTCAATATATGTAAACGCATGGAATGAACTATTATCAATCGAAAATTTTCAAAACTTCGATTTTTTTATAGCAAAAAAAAAAAAAAAAAAAAAAAACGCCTAATTTGCAACTTTTATTTCAAATGTCTATCAAAAATCCAATTTTTTTTATATTCATTTGATTATAGGTCAATCCGTGCTTTTAAGCCTACAAATTAAAACGCCGTTTATTTTTTTTTTTTTTAGATAAGCCGATTAGCCGGAACCATGGAGGAAGTGGGAGCTCTTTTTTTCGAGGCGGGGGTGTTCAGAGCGCTGTAACTCCAGTTTGATTAAATATTTTTAGCTGAAATTTTTTATTTATACTGTCCAAATATGTGTTAATAAATGATAAAAAACTTGAAGCTCTAAATATTTACTGGTCGTAGAAAAAAATCCTAAAATATCCCTAAAAAACAGGCCGTCACATAGGAAGACCCCCTTAAAATAGCAATTATCACTGCCGCGAGACAACCCGTTTTAGAACATTGCCATGTTTTTCAAGCCAAGAACTTTACCGGGAAGAATGTATTGTGGAGGAAGAGTGCTGCAATTGTGTGAAAATTTAAAAACAAAAGAAATGAAACAATTTCACCATGTCAGACACTGCCAATTTTAGTACTGAACGCTGTAAAGGTTGCGAAGTGACTCAGAGTGAATATCCAGAAAAGCTATGGCCAGTTGCTTTTTTGCTATTTTTACAAATAAATAATTAGAAATCAAGCTTTCCGCCACTTTTTTATTAATGTTTAGGCCCCAAGCTATCCCTTAAACACAAAAAAAAAAAATCCTTGCTCATTTTTAACAAAAGCCGCTAAAGCGCAACTTTACCCATCGTTGTTTTTCATCAGACAATCGTGACTTTTGGAATATAGAGTTAACTACTCTTCAATTACGGGTTAAATTTTATAAAAATCGGACGACTACATCATATAGCTGCCATATGAACAATAATCGAAAATATGGAAAATGAATAGAAAAATCGTCATAGCTTCCATGTTGTTTAGCCTTTATGTATTTTGTAGACATATTTGATGACTGCAAGGGTATATAGGCTTCGGCTTGCCGAAGCTAGCTTTCCTTTTTTTTCGTTAATCCTGGACTTCTTAATGTCAAGGAAGAACAATTACCCCTCCCCCCGGAGAACGGTTCCTATTGAACAACAGAGAAGAAGCCTCCGTTCATAAAAGCCCTTTACCAAAACCTGTAGTTACTTATTTTCTATATTTTTTGCAGCTGCACAAGTTCGTCTTAAATGAAGACACACACTTCTTACTAAATATTTGCTAAACTAAAATATTTCAACATTTGACAAAACTATATTCTGAAAACAAAAATCTTTTGCTTATCTAATTTATGAAAAAAAAAAATTTTTTTCTATTTAAAGGAGCTTTGGAAATATATGCGAGGTGAACATACTGCAGAGCAAGAGCTACAGATAATTCAATATATTATTGGACTCGGCATAGAAAGAGAAGAATTACGTGATGAGATATTTGTTCAATGCATTCGTCAAACAAGAAACAACCCAAGTATTGAATGGAATGACAGAATTTGGCTTATTATGTGTCTCTCCATCGTTGCTTTTCAGCCAAGTAAACTTTTGTTTAGGTAAATGTTATATATTTTTAAAAATTATATCTGGTAAGCCAGAAAAAGTAAATAAACATAAACCAGCCCTTTAGAATGATGTTGACAGCCCACATTTACATGTTGCAGTATACTCTATATCGGGTAGTATAGTGTACAAGGTTGTCAATTTTTATACCCTTGCAGAGCAAAAGGGTATTGTATTATAATTTCAGTCAGTGAAGGAGACACCTCAGACCCCATAAAGTATATATATTCTTGATCAGCATGTCTGTCCGTCTGTACGTCTGTCCGTCTGTTCGTTTCCGCGCAAACTAGTCTCTCAGTTTTAAAGCTATCTTGCTGAAACTTTCCCAAAAAGTTATTGCACGCAGTATATAAGTCGGAACGGGCCAGATCGGCCGACTATATCAGATAGCTCCCATACGAGAGAATGAAATAAAAAATTCTCACGCCGTTGTTTTTGATCAGATCGACTTGAATTCTTCAAGATGGCGTTTTCCAACTGTTATTGAATTTCGGATTAAATTTGATCAAAATCGGATAACTCTATCATATAGCTGCCATAGAAGAGATCGAAAAATATATATACACTTAATGGAAATAAATTGATAACATGATTTTTTTATTTGATAAGCATGATTTTTGAAATTTAAAGTTTTCTAACGACTCTTGAACTACGAATTAATTTTGATGAAAATCGGACAACTATATCATAAAGCTCCCATATGATCTATAGTCGAAAATATGGAAAATGAATAGAAAAATCGTCTTAGCTTCGATGTTGTTTAGCCTTTATGTATTTTTTTCGACATACTTATTTGATGACTGCAAGGGTATAAAAGCTTCGGCTTGCCGAAGCTAGCTTCCTTTTTTGTTTTTGATACAATTAGAGTCAAACTAACGGAGTTACAGCTTTTCAAACGACCAAATTTGGACATATAAAAATACTTTTCATCGATTGCCAAATTTTCAATTCTTCACTTAAATCAACTGGTAATCAAGAAGAGTTTTTTTTTTAAATTTTTTTAAATGTGCTAAAATCGCACTTTTTCTTCCAAGTTCTGCAAAAATTAGACAAAAAAAACTCTTCCTGAATACCTCGAGAAATAAAACGCATATCACTTTTTTTAAGATGATCCATTAACGAGTTATGATGTTCACCGCCAAACAACATTTTTTCTAGGCGCTTCTGAAGATTAAACGTCACAGACTTATTTGTAAATATTTTTTATTAAAATCTTTTTCCCAATACTCTTCAAAAGTTAAACAATATTATGCCAATAAACTGAATAAAATAAAATTACTCATTTCGCCTTTTTGGCCTTTAAAACCTTATCGCCCTTAAGAGAAGTCTCTACGAAAAATCGACCCAGACTGTCGTTAACCTAAAAAGTCGTCCAGTCAAAAGAGAAAACATTTTTAAAGAGCTTAACTTTAAACTAAGTCATATTTAACTAATTTAAGTTCGTTAAAATGATCTTTAACTATATTAAATATCAATATATATATATATATATGTATATATAAATTAATCGATTGCCAAATATATATATATATATATATAATAATATAAATCCTAAAAATAAATAGAAATATATGCAGTAGAATCCGGTTATAGCGACTTTCAAGGGACCGGCGGTTTTTCAAAACTGAGAGACTAGTTCGCGCGGAAACAGACAGGAGGACAGATGGACAGTGTAGTGGCCAGTGAACAGAAAGACAATATTTTTAAATTATAACGGACGTACAAAATTTATTAGGTCAGCTAAGGGTTTAACTAGCTCGATTGTTCAAGCTTTAAGATCAACTATACTGCTTCAGCTTAAATCGTATAGTTATCTCACACACACCCTTTGCTAAGTTGCCAGGAATAGTCCCGTTAAAGCTCATGAACAGATAGCCACGCTGCTAGAAAATTCGGCCGATTCGATCATTTCGCTGCCGATCTTCTACCGCCACAGTGCGTAAAATTTTGTGAACGAGAAATTTTAATTCAAGAGTGAAAACCAACCACGTGTTCGGAACCGCACCCACAGCCAAGTCCAAATTTAGGCAAGTGGGCGGAGAACCGCAACTTTTGTGCAGCGATCAGGAGACTCCAAAGTCTACCTGTAGTGAACCAGTGATTTGATTTGAAGTTTTTGAAGGTAAATTTGCTAAAGTCATACAGAGTTGAGTGTGTACGCTAATTTAGTAAATCTTCCGTAGCTTCTGGTCATCGGCGGCCGGCTCAGCCTTGGCGCTGCGCGCTTTCATACAAACACACATACATATATGTGTTCTAAATCTTGCTGCCGCCGGTGTCCCAACTTTGCAGTCGGTATTAGTGGGATGCGCCATAACCTTTTTGGGATACCCTACCCAGGGAAATCTGTGGAGTAGTTAGAGCGACAGCAGGACAGCAGCCACATTTGACAAGTGGAAATAACAACATCTAAGCTGCAACATTAACAAAAAATATGTGAGCACATGGCGTTGCATAACATGTAACCTTTCTTCGTGAGTACACGAATCACCCTGTATTGGAAAGAAAACCAGAGTTTGGCACCGCTGAATATTAACCCTTGTGTCAGAGCTGTGCCAATGTCAACCACTTTAAAATATTTTAAATTTTAATTTGAATTCTCTTTGTTTGAAAATTTGATGAACTCTTAATTGAAATTTTTAGTTTAAGTAAACTCATGTGTACAGCCTCTAACGATTAATGTCAGCCTAAAATTTTTACTATCTTTATGCATACTCATTTACATATATTATATATATATATTTACTAAAGCTTGTTCCACAGCTACAAACAGTTTGTTGGGCCCAAGATCTTGTTGTAGGTTAATGTAAGTGGTACTTGGACTTATTTGGAAATGAATTAACCCTTAGTGGGTACAACCGAAGTTGACATTCTTGCGTTAGGCTTTTGTTAAATTTACAATGAATGAAGTTAAATTTCTTAGCATTTAAATTAAAATTAATCTAGAGCAAAATAATTTGAAAATTAAGTACAACCCTTTGGAAGAAAAATGAAAATGTATAATTATAAATATTATCATCTTTGGAATTTAATTAAAGTATGAACATTTGAAGATATCGCTGAGTCTGTCTAATTACATAATGCCGAGGAATTATCGAGGTTAAAACACGTATTGATTTTGTGTTAGGGGTAATGCCAAACTTCCATATCATTACCAAGGTAGGGCGGGTACAGAACGGGTGATCAATACCAACTAAGATCACCACAACCGTGTTTGCTTGCCTCTTTCTATCAACTATACCGATGGGGATCATTATGCTGATATTTTTGGTTATTTTTTTGTATTTAGTAGAGTAGAGTCAGAAAGTGCACTTTCATTTATCATGTCACCACACATGGAGAACATAGGGATAGGAAAAACCCCGACCCCAATACCGGCGAGCTGAGCGCAGAGCGCAGCATAGTGCACTGAGCCTCCGATTCCCTCTCCAACCGAGGCTGTGGCAAAAACAATTACCAGCCGTACCATTACAGTATAAATTGGCGCCCAACGTGGGGCCAGACTAAGAAACCGTACCTTTTAACGTTACAGATAAAATTGGCCCACATCGTGGTGACTCGACGATCGGAATCTTACCATTTATCTTACAGATAAATTGAAGCCCATAACGTGAGGCCAGACTAACAGAATCGTACCGTTTATCCTTACAGATAAAAAGGCACCTAGTCGATTGAGGGTAACACCGAAAAGATCGATGAATTAGTAGTCTTCACGTAAGCTCTGTTTGAACATCCAGTGATTAGTTTATTTATAGTTTGGGGTCTGGATATTATTTTGTAGTCAGCTTTTGGAAAATGAGATTTTATATTCTAAGAGGTTTAGTCTACCAAGGATGACTAGGAGAACTGTAGATTTTTCTAACCAGGACCATGTGGTATTTTTAGGGTAGTTTTCTTGTTGTATCTGAGCGAGGGAATTTGCGATTGAAGTTCGGGAATTCGGATTTATCGACCCAGCCAGACACATTAAGAAATTCCGCCTATGTAAGAGTTATCGTTCGACACTAGAATAGCGGACTTTAGAGGTCTTTGAAGTTCCGACTAGTATTAGACAGTAACTAAAACAAGTTATAATCTTATATATAAAAATGAATCGCAAAATGTGTTGGTAAGCGCATCACATGAAAACGGCTTGACCGATTTGGCTGAAAATTGGTAGGGAGATAGCTTAGAACAAGAAGAAGGTTGTAGCATAAGAAAATTATGGGAAAACCTTCTGGAAAAGTCGCTAGCGGCTTAACAGATGTACACAATGTTGTATGTAATTACGCAATCGTTCTTATGGGGTAGGCAGTAGGCATTCGGTTTTAAGTAAAAAGGTTTGCTTTATCAAGTTTTTTAAAAAAAAAAGTGTTTTGTTTGTGAGTAGTGAAAAAATAATGCCTGCTATAAGACGAAGCAATTTAGGTAGAAGAACCAGAAATGCTACAAACCAGTCTAATTACCGATCTAATCGTACTGCACAAGAACGTGAATACGTAATTGAACGTGAAAGAATTCGGATATCACAAACGCGTGAAGCGCGAGCGCGACATTCAACTAATAATCGCGCAAGTTTGAATCGAGCTGCTTTCAGTTACGATGTGTCAATTGACTACAGTAACTACCAATGTGTTGTTATTGGTTCTATGAACTACGTTTGCTCAAACTGTAAGGCATTAAAATACAAAAACGAAGCCAAAGGATTGTGTTGCGCAAATGGTAAAGTGAAATTGATACCATTGGATCCACCACCAGAACCATTGTACTCATTGGTTTCAGGAATAGGAACAGAATCTATACACTTTTTGACACATATCCAACAATATAACAATTGTTTTCAAATGACTTCATTTGGGGCAACAAATGTAGTTCGGGAAAATTTTATGCCAACTTTCAAGGTATGTATACACCAAAGTTAAGATGTGTCACTAATCTTTTCAATTTCTTAATCATTACGAAATATATCACTTAGTCATCATATTTTACAGATACAAGGGCAAATATATCACAG